AATGCGTGAATGGCCGAAAAAAAATTCATCTGAAGGGTGCTGCTGGGGAACTTGGCAAATTACTGAACGCACTTACTTTCCGAGTGTCTGTTCAGTTGATGAAATGATGGCATGTATGTAAAATTACTATGAGATAGATAACTAATGTATTTCAGAAGATAGCGTGTTTTTTTTTTAACAGCTAGTAACGTTAGCTGTTAATTTCTGAATCAATTTTGATTAGCACTTGGAGAATATGAATGACTGTTGTTGATTTTGGTTCTTCTTCTCCCCCATTTAGAGTTTTCATAGGCCTCAAAGAAGAGAATGTCGAGACGCAGGTAACACTGTTAGTTTTGGAGGCATGTTTCAAAATTAGCCCATGCCTTTGAAATACATGACTACTAATTAAACTTCCTTTCTAAAATTCATCACAGTAGCCGTTTACAAGCTAAGCAGCAGCATGCCCAGCCCAACCAGCCAGACTCTCCGCAAGAAGTCCAGATAATTCAGGCCAAGAAGAGAAAAACAGCACAGGTGATTTAAGGAAAATAAGGGAGGAAGGGAGGAAATTCCTTGCCGAGACCTTAGTTTACAATGGTCTTTTCTATTCTCCAGGATGTCAAAAAAAGAAAAGAGGAGATCACCAAGAAGCATCAGTATGAGATCAGGGTAATGCAGACGTGGACTGGGTGGGTTACAGTAGGAAGATTCCTCTGACACTTGTGATGATCTTCGAGGTTAACAGGAAGGGGTTTCATATGTGCCTGAATACTACAGCTGCAGTGTAGTTGGCCTAGAAGCAGCTGGTTCCTTTTTGTAAATCCCTCCCTTTTGGAGCTGGCTGGTATATCAGGGCCCGCCTATATACAGCTCTTTGTTCACTTTCAGACTACAGTTGGAGGGTCCTAATAGCTACCGAGTTGGCATAAAAAAGGATGTGAGATCACTGACAGCCTGGCAGGAGCCTTTTGCTACCCTTCTTCCTATGTGTTCACTTGGAGACAATAATTTTTTCAAAAAGATCCTCTAAGTGAGTTTTCTCAACTGTTAGAAAAGAGCTTTTATTTTTAAAAAGTATCCTTGCTAAATTTTTTTTTTTTTTTTTTTTTTTTTTTTTT